CATGCCCGTGTACTCCGTCACCTGGACGGGGGGGAAGCACAAGGAAGGGCGGGAGAAGGGGGAAAGGAATGAGCTTAGGTAGAGGCAACACCCCTTCCTTATGGCCTTGTGCGGCTGCACCAGCATGCCCGTGTACTCCGTCACCTGGACGGGGGGGAAGCACAAGGAAGGGCGGGAGAAGGGGGAAAGGAATGAGCTTAGGTAGAGGCAACACCCCTTCCTTATGGCCTTGTGCGGCTGCACCAGCATGCCCGTGTACTCCGTCACCTGGACGGGGGGGAAGCACAAGGAAGGGCGGGAGAAGGGGGAAAGGAATGAGCTTAGGTAGAGGCAACACCCCTTCCTTATGGCCTTGTGCGGCTGCACCAGCATGCCCGTGTACTCCGTCACCTGGCGGGGGAAAAGACAAAGGGGTGGGGGAAGAGTGAGGGGGAAGTGGGGAGGGGAGGGCCATGTGCTTGTGCAGCTGGAGCGAGCAATGTAACTAACTAGGCCTACTTTGCTCCGAACCACACTGTGCATCCCATAACAAACACACTCAAGTGCAAGCAGCACAGCACACCCACCATGCAGCTGGAGAGCGCGATGTGCTTGGGGTTGATGCCCGTGTCGTGTACTACCCTCGAACCCAAACAGCACCGTGCATCACATAACAAAAACTATACACACAGTGCAAAAAGCGCACATACACACACAGTGCAACCACACCGCACACACCATGCGGCTGGAGAGCGCGATGTGCTTGGGGTTGATGCCTGTGTACAGCCCTCCGAACTGCTCCTGCCCGCGACACCGGATGGCCATCACCACCTGCTCACGTGGGCGGATCAGGTTGGTCGAAAAGGTGGGAAGACAGGTGGGTTGGAGAAGGTGGGTAAGAGCAGGTGGGTAAGAGCAGGTGAGTAGAAAGAAAGCCAGTTGTTAGGCGCCTAATGAATGACCAGGTGGCCATCACCATGTGCTCGGCGGGGTGGAGAGGAACGAGAGCGCACGTGAAGGCGCGTAACGGTGCGTTGCCGCTATGGCAGGGCTTTCAAGGAATCCTCAAAAGTGACTCCTACATTGCTTCACTTTTCAGCAACGCAGGTTTCTCTTCAGCTGTACATGTCAATGACACGCAGACGCGTCCTAATAGCCGACCACCTCCCATGTGTGACAAATAACCCCCCATCAGCATCAACCAGCCTCGACCAGACACGGAACCACCCCTTCCGGCAGCCACTGCAGGAACCCCACGATCCCCCAACGCACACACTCACCTCTTCCAGAGACGCGTTTCCCGCCCGTTCGCCAATCCCGTTGATGGTTACCTCCAGCTGCCGCGCTCCTGCCTTGGCGCCCTGCTCCGTGAGAGAGGTGGCGTGAGAGGAGACGCGGAGATTCGAAAAGGAGAGGCCAGGAGGAGGGGATAACGGGAGGGAAGAGTGGAAGGGGAGAACGGGAGAAGAGAAAGGGTGAGGAGAAAGTGAAAAGCAATGATCACAACGAACAGCTCCGTCTGCTACCTTTGTGTGTAAGGCAACTTGGGCAGCCCGGTACTGTTGAACCCCTCTCGACTCGACTCACCACAAACGTGCCGTCTGCTACCTTTGTGTGTACTGCTGGCAGCTTCGGCAGCCCAGTACTGTTGAACCCCTCTCGAGTCACCGCAAACGTGCTAGTGGTTGCGAGACGATCATGCTCTCTGCGCCCCCTCTAACATGGTCAACCCTCCACTCACTCACTTCCTCCCTCACTCCCTCCCTCCCTCTCTCCCTCCTCCCTCCCAGCCTCCCTTCCTCCCTCCCTCCCTCCCTCACCGCGAGCGTGTTGGCAGTGGCGAGGCCCAGGTCGTTCTGGCAGTGGGTAGAGATAATCACGTTCTCCGCGCCCTCCGTGTTCTGGCGGATCTTGGCGATCAGATCGCCGAACTCGGGCGGCATGGTGTACCCCACCGTGTCGGGGATGTTGAGAGTGGTGGCGCCCGCCTTGATCACCTCGCTCAGAATGCGGTACAGGAACTCAGGGTCGGACCTGAAGCAGCAGGGGGACGGTGCAGGGACGGACACAGAGGAGGGAGCAGAGACAGAGAGGAGACAGAGCCGAGACAGGGCAAGAAAGCTTCTCAATTTGCTCGCCGAACTCGGGGGGCATGGTGTACCCCACCGTGTCGGGGATGTTGAGAGTGGTGGCGCCCGCCTTGATCACCTCGCTCAGAATGCGGTACAGGAACTCAGGGTCGGACCTGTGGGGAGGGGATGGGAAGACACGGAGGTGGTTGGAACCATGGGGCAACAAGGCATCCTAGTAGCACCCGAGGCTTTTAGCGTACGCCCCATGTTGCGCGCCAGTACCAGCACGCGGCAGGCTGACATGACGTTGCATCACACCCATCACCGGCACCCATCACCACCACCCACGACACCCTAACCCCCACCTGCCAGTCTCCTCGGGGCTGAATTCCATGTCGTTACATCCGAGGCTCTTGGCGTATGCGCAGCTTGTACTCTAATGTGCATTTATACGCGCAGCTTGTACTCTATGTGGATCGCGACCCATCATGCCTGATCATTCTCAAACGTCACACCAACATTCCGATACTGCCACCACGCACAGCCCATCAACTACAGGGCATCCTCGGCACCGGCTTCCCCGCTCGACCCGTGACCTTCACCCACCTGCCGGCATCTTCAGGGCTGAACTCGATGTCGTTGCATCCGAGGCTCTTAGCGTACGCCACCATGGAACGCGCGATCTCGACCACCTCGTCGGGCGTCTTGCGCAGCTTGTACTCCATGTGGATCGCGCTCGTCGCGATGAACGTGTGGATCCGCGGCCGCGCCGCGTGCCGCACCGCCTCCCACGACGCGTCGATGTCCGCCTTGTTGCAGCGCGCCAGCCCGCAAATCACGGGCACGTACCCCGTCTGCGGGTCGATGTTATTCCCCACCTCCTTGGCGATCGTCCGCACCGCCTCGAGATCATCGGGCGACGCGATCGGGAAGCCCGCCTCGATAATGTCGACGCCGAGCCGCGCCAGCTGGCGCGCGATGTCGAGCTTCTCCTTGCTGGTGAGCGTCGCGCCGGGCGACTGCTCGCCGTCGCGCAGCGTCGTGTCGAAGATGCGGACGTAGTTAGGGTCGTCGATGCGGTTCGGGATGTACTCGGGACGGGACGGCCGCGCCGCGGGCTCGTTTCCGTTCACGCTGCTGCGAACGCAGGGGAAGGTTCGTGGGAGCTTCGACGGTTGCGCGTGAGACGCGGCGGAAGTGGGGGCGAAGGTGAGCTGTTGGCCGAAGAAGGCTCTGGGAAGGTCACATTGGCGGGAACCAGAGGTGGTGGTGGTGGCGTCGAAACGAGATACCATGGACGGGACGACTGCTCGAGTCAGCATCACTCCTGCATGCGCCATGACTGCTAGGCTTTCACCGAGCGAATGGATAAGCGGCGAAACGACAAACTAAAACGAGCGTAAAGACCAAGGGTGACAGTTCCTATTGATGTAGAAGCTGCCAAAACGTAAGCTGGTTAGAGCGATGCCTAGAATAAATCACCGGCACCAAAAGCGACGAATGCGTGAAAAGGAACGTCTTTGGTGAACGTAAAGTTGAAAGGGCCGAGGAAAGGGAACGGGCGAGTGTTTATGTATCGGCCATGGCTGTGCGTGGAGCCAAGTCCAAGATGGGCGCAGAATCTAGGCAGCAGTTGTATAGGTAAAGGGATTCCAGCGAGGCAGCCCGTGGCAGCCTAAGGAGTACCGAGAGAAAGTTGGGCTTGCATGTCGCGCGCTGATTGGTTGAACAGGTGAATGTCAGACGTACAAGATTTCGTCCTGGAGGCGGAAGATGGAATTGCGTGAAATGGATCCAAAAGTAGGGTTTGTGCCAGCCGTTGATGATCGGTGAAATCCCAGGGTTTTGGAGAACACGGAAATGCAGTGTAGAGACTTCTACATTATTCCAAACCATACTTCAACTCCGATATTATCTCTTCTACCGAGTTATCCAGTATCGGAGTTAGGGTTCCGTCTGCTCCCCCTGCTTCAACTTCTTTCAGAAGTATCTTCCATATCCTATCGTTCACTCCCACTCGACATACTCGTCTCTGCTAACCTTGACGTACCTCTCTCTTACTTGGTGGTATACATAGGTTAGCACTACGACGGCTTATCCCCGTTGAGGCTTGATTGCGTTCGTACTTGTGCCTCGCCTAATGTGGAGATTCTAACGAATTCCATACCTTTTCAGTTCCTCGCCGCCATAAGCCAGACAGCTGCTGCTCGCATAATTGTAAAGATCCGGCGGGCTAGCTGACCGCTCGGCATGGATCCGTTAAAGAAGCTAGAGTACCTCTCACTCGTTTCCAAGGTATGCTCGGAATTAGAGACGCACGTCGGCATCGCGGACAAAACGCTCGCGGAATTCATTATCGAGCTCGGGCAGCAGAATTTTACGGTTGCCGCTTTCGACGGTGCCCTGAAAGAAAACGGAGCCGAGCTGCCCGAGTATTTTGTCGGCACGCTTCTGACGATCATCCACGCCGTCCTTCCGCCAAAATCCAAATCCAAGGGCTCAGGAAAGAAAGCCGGCGATGGCTCGGGCAGCTCGAAATTTCCCGGCCTGGCGGTTCCGGATGACAGGGAACGGGCGAAAGCTCTGGAGAAGGAGCTGCTTGGCGAAGCTTCGCGAGACGGGCGAAGAGACGGGGACGGTTACCACGATGATAGGGATCGCGACAGGGACCGAGACAGGGACAGGGACGACGGGAGGCGGCGGCGGTGGGATGATGATGGGAGCGACAGGCATCGGGACCGAGACAGAGACAGAGACAGGGGTAGAGAGAGGGACCGGGATGGCGACAGGGATAGAGATAGAGATAGAGGGAGAGATAGGGATGAGAGGCGACGAGGAGACGAGGAGAGAGACCGACTACCGCCGCGTCCGGCTCTTCCGCCTCCCCCGCCGCCCAGGAGCAGCGAGTTGGAGGTGTACGGCATCTACAAGGGCAAGGTTTCCCGCATCATGGAATTCGGGTGTTTTGTGCAAATAGACCTTCCGGGCAGCCACGAAAAAAAGGAGGGGTTGGTGCACGTGTCGCAGATCGCGTCGCGGCGAATCAACAGCGCAAAGGACGCGGTGGAGAGGGATCAAGAGGTGTGGGTGAAGGTGATCAGCATGTCCGGGCCGAAACTCTCTCTCAGCATCCGTGACGTGGACCAGAAAACGGGCAAGGACCTTCTCCCCATGAAAAAAAAACCTTCCGCGGAGGGGGACGGGGAGGGCGACGACCGCAGCAACCCGGCCGGCCCGGGCACTCGCGGATTATCCGGGATCCGCATCGTCGAAGAGGATAACGCCACGGGGCGGCGTCCTGGCCGTCGGATGTCGTCCCCCGAGCGATGGGAGGCGCAGCAGTTAGTAGCCTCGGGGGTTCTAGACGTGACGGATTACCCTCAGTACGACGATGAAGGCGGGGGGTTGTTGTATCAGGACGAGGGCGAGGAGCAGGAGGTGGAGATTGAGATGAACGAGGACGAGCCGGCGTTCCTGCGCGGGCAGACGCGAGCGAGTATTGACGTGTCGCCGGTTAAGATCGTTAAGAATCCTGATGGATCGCTGCAGCGCGCCGCCATGACGCAATCCGCGCTCGCCAAGGAGCGCCGCGAGCTGCGCGAGCAGCAGCAGCGCAGCATGCTGGACAGCATCCCGAAAGATCTGAACCGTCCGTGGGAGGATCCGATGCCGGAGTCTGGGGAGAGGCATCTGGCGCAGGAGCTGCGGGGAGTGGGTCTTGCCGCGTATGACATGCCCGACTGGAAAAAAGACGCGTTTGGCAAGGCGCCCACGTTCGGGCAGCGGTCGAAACTTTCGATGCAGGAGCAGCGGCAGAGCCTGCCAATCTACAAGCTGAAAAACGAGCTGATTCAGGCTGTGAACGAGAACCAGGTGCTGGTGGTGATTGGCGAGACAGGCTCCGGGAAAACCACACAGATGACTCAGTATTTGGCCGAGGCGGGGTATACGAGCAAGGGGAGAATTGGTTGCACGCAGCCGCGGCGAGTGGCGGCTATGTCCGTTGCTAAGCGTGTAGCAGAGGAGTTTGGGTGCCGTCTCGGCGAGGAGGTGGGGTATGCGATCCGGTTTGAGGACTGCACGAGTCCTGAGACGGTGATTAAGTACATGACTGATGGTATGCTTTTGAGGGAGATTCTGGTGGATGAGGATTTAAGTTCTTATTCGGTGATCATGCTGGATGAGGCGCACGAGAGGACGATTCATACCGATGTGCTGTTCGGGCTGCTGAAAGATTTGCTGGTCAAGAGGAAGGATCTGCGGCTGATTGTTACGTCGGCGACCCTGGACGCGGAAAAGTTTTCGAATTACTTTTTCCAGTGCCCGATTTTTACGATTCCGGGCAGGACTTTTCCGGTGGAGGTTTTGTACACCAAGGCGCCTGAGACGGATTATTTGGATGCTGCCCTGATTACGGTGATGCAGATTCACCTGACCGAACCTGAGGGCGACGTTCTTTTGTTTCTGACCGGGCAGGAGGAGATCGACACGTCGTGCCAGATTCTGTACGAGCGAATCAAAGGGCTCGGGCCGTCGGTCCCGGAACTTATCATCCTGCCCGTGTACAGTTCCCTGCCCAGCGAAATGCAGACGAGAATTTTCGACCCTGCCCCGCCGGGCACCCGGAAAGTCGTCGTGGCCACTAACATCGCAGAAGCATCCCTCACCATTGATGGAATTTACTACGTGGTTGACCCGGGCTTTGCAAAGCAAAAAGTCTACAACCCGAAGCTGGGTCTCGACTCGCTCGTCATCACGCCCATCTCCCAAGCCTCGGCGCGGCAGAGGGCCGGCCGAGCCGGGCGCACAGGTCCGGGGAAGTGCTACCGGCTGTACACGGAAAGCGCGTACCGAAACGAAATGCTGCCCACCACAGTGCCCGAAATCCAGCGCACCAACCTGGGCATGACAACCCTAACACTTAAAGCCATGGGAATCAACGACCTGCTGGCGTTTGACTTCATGGACCCACCGCCGCCCCAGGCTTTAATCTCCGCCATGGAGCAGTTGTATAATCTCGGAGCGCTGGACGAGGAGGGGCTGTTGACAAAACTCGGGCGAAAAATGGCTGAGTTTCCGCTCGAGCCGCCGCTGTCGAAAACGCTGATCGCGAGCGTGGATCTGGGTTGTTCCGAGGAGATTCTGACGATTATCGCGATGCTTCAGGCGCAGAATATCTTTTATCGGCCGCGGGAGAAGCAGGCGCAGGCGGATCAGAAGAAAGCCAAGTTCTTTCAGCCCGAGGGGGACCATCTGACGCTGCTGGCCGTGTACGAGGCGTGGAAAGCCAAGAGCTTTTCAGGGCCGTGGTGTTATGAGAACTTTGTGCAGAGCCGGTCGTTGAGGCGCGCTCAGGACGTGCGGAAGCAGCTTCTCACCATCATGGACCGGTGCGTATGAGGTGGGGGGGTGAAGGGTTGGGGAGAAAAGGGATGGGTGGGTGACGGGAATCAGGTGGGTGGTGGGTGGCTTGTGAGTCGTCTTGACTCACAAGGCAGCAGAAGCAGGCGCAGGCGGATCAGAAGAAGGCCAAGTTCTTTCAGCCCGAGGGGGACCATCTGACGCTGCTGGCGGTGTACGAGGCGTGGAAGGCCAAGAGCTTCTCGGGGCCCTGGTGCTACGAGAACTTCGTTCAGAGCCGGTCGCTGCGGCGCGCACAGGACGTAAGGAAACAGCTTCTCACCATCATGGACCGGTGCGTTTTGAGGGGGGGGAAGGTGGGGGGTTGTGGTGGGGTGTGGGCAGCAGGACTGGTGGGTGTGTGGAGTTCACAAGCAGCTCCTCACCATCAAGGACCGGTGCGTGTGGGGGAAGGGGTATGAGGACCGGTGGGAGGGTGTGTGTGTGTGGGTGGGTGGCTTCCCTCCCCGCCCCTCTTTGCTTCTCCTTAACCCCTCTTGCCCCAACCAGGTACAAGCTGGACTGGACGTGATCTCTTCTCTGCTAGTCGCAACTTCATTAGGATCCGCGGGGCACTCTGTTTGGGTTTCTCCTCTCACGCACTGAGGGGTGGCACTGTCTCACTCACCACCCAACTCCTCTCACATGCTTCCTGTTTCCCCCTCTCCTTGCCCCTCCTCGCCCCCCCGTTGCCCCTCCTCGTGCCTCCTTGCCTCCCTCTTCCCTTCCCTTGCACGCATGTAGGTACAAGCTAGACGTGGTATCAGCAGGTCGCAACTTCATCAAGATCCGCAAAGCCCTGTGCTCCCGTCTACATCCACCCCTCCTCCGCGCTCTTCCAGCGCCAGCCCGACTGGGTTTTATACCACGAGCTCGTGATGACCACCGCTCCTGCCCCTCCATGCGGGCCCCCCTTGCCTCACCCCATCTCAGGTACAAGCTGGATGTGGTATCAGCAGGCAGAAACTTCATAAAGATCCGGAAGGCCCTCTGCTCAGGCTTCTTCTTCCACGCGGCACGGAAAGACCCACAGGAGGGGTACCGCAGCATCGTGGAGAACCAGCCCGTCTACATCCACCCCTCCTCGGCCCTCTTCCAGCGCCAGCCCGACTGGGTGTTATACCACGAGCTGGTGATGACGACCAAGGAGTACATGAGGGAGTGCACGCTGATTGACCCGCGGTGGCTGGTGGAGCTGGCGCCGCGGTTTTTTAGGCAGGCGGATCCCACCAAGCTGAGCAAGAGGAAGCGCCAGGAGCGCATCGAGCCGCTGTATGACCGGTATCACGAGCCCGGCGCGTGGCGGCTGAGCAAGAGGCGGGCGTAAGGGGGGGTAGGTGGGGCAGGTGGGGAGGGTGGGGGGTGAGGAGGTGCGGTATTGTGAGCTGGTGATGACGACTAAAGAGTACATGAGGGAGTGGTGGAGCTGGCGCCGCGGTTCTTCCGGCAGGCGGATCCCACCAAGCTGAGCAAGAGCAAGCGGCAGGAGCGCATCGAGCCGCTGTATGACCGGTACCATGAGCCCGGCGCGTGGCGGCTGAGCAAGAGAAGGGCTTAAGGAGGAAGGGGGGGGTGAGGGTGGGGCAGGCGAGGGTGAGGAGGTGTTGAGTTGCTTTGTGAATCTTCTCAGAAGTGGATTGAGCCGCTGTATGACTGGTACCATGAGCCCAATGCGTGGCGGCTGAGCCAGCGGAGGGCTTAAAGGGGAGGGTGGAGGGTAAGGGGGGTTCCAGAGGGGTTTGAGTGGGTGTTGAGGTGCTTCAGCAGCACATCGAGCCGCTGTATGCTCGCTACCATGAGCCCAACAGGTGGCGGCTGAACAAGCGGAGGGCGTAAGGTGGGGAGGGTGGGGAGGGTGGGCGTGGGAGGTGAGGAGGAGGCGTTGGGGTGGCTTTTGGTGCCATTTTAAGCCGAGCTGGAGGCGGACACCAGACAGGAGTCGCTTTTGCGGTTTGGGTGCTCTGCTGCAGCGAGATTGACTGACAGCACTGTAATTCGTTGAACCTTTGGAAACTGCGGGTTTGCTGGAATCAAAGATGAATGAGAGGAGCTGTGAAGCAGAGAGGGTTTGCTTGCCAGAGAGGTGTTCATGTTTCTCACTCGTGATCTGAAGTGTTTGGTTGGTAATGCTGGTGTTTCTTGCATTACCCTTCTTAGAATGTTCATATGATGACAGCTGTTTGTTGCCATTACTGTCCTATTGTGACCCTTAGACCATAACCTGCTAAACTGCACTGATTTACAGTACTTCTGATGAGATAATCCTCTAAAGAGTCGATGAAGCCAGTGGCAAGAATTCGGGTCTATTGCAATATACAACATACAAGCCCTGTCCTACTGAGCCGAGGACTGGAGCTGTGATTAACAGGGCTAACTTTAGTCTGGGGGCCTGTCTGACGTTAAGACCAGGTCCTGGTTGCTTGTCTGATCGTCAGACGAATGCTGTAACGTTGTCTTGGCTTTCAGACGAATTTGAACTACTTGTCTAGGCGTTCAGACGAAAATCTTCAAATAGTCCTACTACATATAATCTAATCACTACGCTATTCATTTTAATGTAAGATCCTATTCTAAGAGGAGTCACTAGCATTACTGCTGCTGCCACTGTCATCATCATCACTACCGCTGTCTCTCTCAGACTCAGAGTCTGAGGTTTCCTCTAATGTAGCTGCGGCTTTGCCCTTCCTCCAGGTAGGGAGTTCCCATGCTGCTTCTTCTGCCGCTCTCTCTCTCTCTCCCTTGTGGCAGCCACCTCCGCCTCTTTCTGTGCGCGGGTTGCCTCTTCCGCTGCTGCTGTGGCTACCGCACGTTTCTTCTGGTGATGGGACCGCCGTCTCTTCACCGGACGTGATCCTTGAGCCATGACCACCTCACGTGCCGGCCGCCTCTTCTTACTGCCATGCCACCTCTCCACCAGCTCCTCTGTGTTCAGCTCGTAATTCAGAAGAGAGACAGTCATCAGGTCCCCGAGTGTCGTGTCGCACAAGCTGCCGCGCACCCAACTTTTAATAATGTTCTGACGGCTGAAACCACGCTCACACTCAACAGTGCTGAGTGGGAGCACGGCAACAGCTATCCACAGGCGACCGAGGTTCGGAAAGGCCGACTCCCAATCCGGCGTTGAGAGCATCTGCGAGAGGCTGTCGTGGAAGGAGAGGTCTTTGTGATGAGTGGAGAGAATTGTGGTAAAGCTGGTGAGCTCCTTGGCAGCTTTGCCCCAATCGACACCTGATAGCGAGGGGAGGGGGGATGGAACAACGCTAGCACATTTTATAGTTGAGTATACACAAATGACACCACAGCCAAAATCATACAAGACATGGGTCACATGCTGACATAAAATATAGCGCTTACCAGGAAGGGTGTCTGGATGTTGCGGTTTCTTCTTGAACAGGTTGCGTAGAGACTCTAGCCACACGGGAAATCGGCGCGCTCTCTTAGAGCGCGAGCGAGGGTACCGTCCTTGCCGAAAGAGACGGCTCCCTTCCAGCGACTTCAGGCTCTTCATGCGGTCCTCGATAAAAAACACTGTCCGCGCAGCGAACGCCGATGCCGCCTCCACGCACGAAGCCAAATCCCCCCCAAACTTCTCCTTCGCGATGTAGTCCTCGTGCAGAACGTAGGTGTGCGTCACGGGTGTTCCCTCGCTGTCAACGCTTTCGACCTTCACCTCGCGATGCTCAAGGCTCCCGCGCGCTTTCAGGAATGTCGCGAGCCGACCACTGTTGTCGCCGAAGGTGGAGCCATACTCCACGTAGCGACTGGTCAGGGCCAGTGTGGTGTGCTGCACCATCGGAAGAACCTGCGTCACATCGAGCTGCACATATAAAACAGACGCAAATTAGTCTCAGGAAGGGAACCCAAGTGTAATCTATGACATCAATCCCTTACCTGCCGTCGCTGAAACTTGAGATTGAGGCTGTTCAACTCCTGAAGCACATCAACCAGGAAGAACAAGAAAAACTGAAACTTCAGGCTTGTTACAAGGGTGTAAGAAGACTTGTCGTACTCATGCAGCAGGACGACTGCAGCAGGCAGCACGTCAGCAAACCGCTCGATGGCGTCCCCGCGTGATAGCCACCGTACGTCCTTTATGCCTTGCATCTCCAGGTTGGTGCGCGTGATCACTTCCTGTAGCTTCTTGAATCGCGCATGTTGCACGATGCTGCGGCCGAGAATGTCCGCGAAGGCCCGGACGACCTTATCAACGACATTGAACTCTGGAAATTCCAGAGCAGCATCCTTAGCAGCCAGTGCTTCCCTGCAGGCATAACACGTAACAGATTGGTTAGTTATCTGCATGTAAATATAACAGAAACAACAAACAAAACTCACGGTACACAACCTGTGGGCAACGCAATGGCAGGGTACGATGTGCGGAACACGTGACCGTAATCTCGCCACCAGGCCTGTGTCACATCCCGTCATGACACTTGTGCCGTCCGTCGTCATGCCGCTGATCTTCATCAGTTCAATGCCGCAAGCTGCAAGGTGTGTCAGGAGGACGGCCTCCAGCGATGCTGCGTCGCACTTCTCGACAGAAAGGTTGGCGAGGAACTCGGTCGTCACCGCCGTTCCGCGAAGAAACGTGGCATACACAATCATGTGTTTGCCACGCCTTCTGTCGGTGCTTTCATCGAGCTGAAGGCCAATGAACGGACTGGCGACGATGTGCTGCATCTGCTTCGCCTTCAAGTAGCACACCAGAGTCTCGACCAGCTGCTTGAAGCCGTACCTGCGTCGAACATTAGGCAATAATTAGTAAAATGGCTGGTGAAAAAATACCAGAGGAGGGATTCGATTCAACACTTACGGTGTACAGTAAGTCCCTTGGTCCTTCTCGGGCATATCTGGCGTTCCCATCTCCGCCATGAACTGCACGAGTGTCATAAACAATGCGATGGGGGTATCAGATTTGCAAATGAAGCGCACAGTCAGAAACAACTTGATCAACCGCCGCGTTTCCGCACTCTTATCTCCAAAGTTGGAGATAGAAGCCTGCTTCGTCTGCGGGCCTTCACGCTGCTCCAATCGTGCCTTCGCCGCCCGGTGCCGGATGCTCCACTGGTGTTTCCTCATGGTTTGCTTTTGTATGTCGATGCCTCCCTCGCCCCGAGCGCCGTACTGCGACTCTGGATCTGCGTACACGGTGCAGATCTTGCACCTCATGCAAGGACGACCTTCGGAGTTGTCGCCGATGATAAGCCAAGGGAAGTGGCGTTGCCACTGCTGCTTGGCTTTTAGCTGCAGCTCCTCCAGCGTCAGAATCGCGGGACCGGGGTTCTTTTCAGCACGGCTCTCCCCTCCATCGTCCTTAGAAGCGGGATTTCCTGCAGAGGGAGAGCTTGGGCACTTCGCGAAAGAAAGCTTATGTTGAATATACTTAGTTTTGCCCGGAAACCGCGGCGGAAGGAACGGCGAGTGGGTTTTGGAAGGGTTGTTTTTTGTAGGAGATGCGTGAGGTTGACCAGATGACGAACCCCCAGGAAGGCTTGTTGAGCTCGGTGATCGAACTGGGGAAAAAGGAATTAGCGGCTCGGCATCCATTTCCGCGAACGGGTAAGGCTGCTCGGGAGAGTGTGGCCTCTCATTCTCACCGGCCGAAGGAGCAACAGGAGCTGCTGAGACGGGAGTTGTGGTGAAACACCCCCGGGTAAGAAAATCAAGGCCAGTGCGTGAGCGTGGCAACGCACTGGAAGGTGGCGGAGAATCATGCAGAGTGGAAGCTGGAGGGGCCTCCGTGCGAGAGTCAGAGGCCATCGTGGCAACTGCAACACACTGCCTCGCTCTCGCCAACGAGGTTAAAATGAAGGACCGACCCCTGGTGATGCGGGGAGTGCGGGGGGGGTATCGTTGGGACGAGGCGCGATGCATGAACGTCTCCCTCTCCGCTGGAAGCTGCCATGCCATCCACCCCTGCTGAGTCTACGCGCACTGAGGGCAGTCGGTGTTGCAAATGCAGCTGTCTGCCGTGCGCTGGCACGAATATGCCAAACCAGTTGGCAAGATTCGTGCCAGCGGGGTGAGTCTGGCGCATTTGACGTGAGATGTTGTCACCGACCAGAGGCAACGTACACCCTGGCGGTGGCAGCACGGTAACGCGGCGAGTGGCAAGTCTCGTCGGGAACATTGGGCAACAGGGCATGTGGGCAACTAGCCAGGTGGGCAACTGGCCAGGTGGGGTAATTTGTCGGTATCAGACGAGAAAGTACGCGATGTCTGCAGTCTCAGACGAAACGTATAAGGTTGTCTAAAAAATCAGATAAATATAGGAACCTTGTCCAAACAACCAGATGAGTGGGAAAGGCTTGTCTAGGCCCTCAGATGAGCCCAAAAAAACGTGTCTGGAATCAAGAAAAACAGACAAGAAATTTCTGATAACGTAGGCCCTGGTGATTAAACATACGGTACATCAGGCAGGGTCAATAGAGCAGCCACTGCCACTCGCTCTTATATGCATGATAATGGTCTCAACTATGTATGTCTCTCTTATTGTGCTCCTCCTTGGTCATTTGTACAGGCAGACCAGTGTGGCATGCACTGCACTGCACTGCACACTGATGGGCTTGGAGTTGGGAGGGAGAGGCCATCTTGAGGTGGCATACGGTAGCAGCAAGCGTACCCTGCAACCCAGCAAGCGTTAGTGGTGTAATGAGCTACCCATAAGCGGCTGATGAGATCAGCTGATGTGGTAAGCTGATGTGGTATGCAATGCACTGACAAGCTGCTGATGCGTTAGGCCTTGGAGTTGGGGAGCTGCCTTGAGGTGGCAGCAGAGCGGGCGCGCTCGGCAGAGAACTTGGCATAGTCGCTGAGCACTCGGTTGTTCACCCGGTCCTTCATTGATGCCAGCAGCTGCTGTAACACCTGGAAGTGATTCAAGGGGGTGGAGGGAAGGACGATGTGAACTATGCCCAGTAGCACTTGGCATAGTCGCTGAGCACTCTGTTGTTCACCCGGTCCTTCATTGACGCTAGCAGCTGCTGCAACATCTGATGCAAACAGAATGCGGGGAGGGAAGGGCAATGAGAACTATGCCCAGTAGCACTTGGCATAGTCGCTGAGCACTCTGTTGTTCACTCTGTCCTTCATTGACGCTAGCACCTGTTGCAACACCCGGAGGTGAACACAATGTAAGGAGGGAGGGCCGATGGGTGCACTTGGTATAGTTGCATTGAACTCGGTTGTTCACTCTGTTCTTCATTAATGCTAGCAACTGCCTGCAAAACCTGAAGGCGAATAAAGGGGGTGGAGGGAAGGCGGACAAACACTGTTTCAAGTCATGGACAACTCAGTCATCCAATGTGACTAGCAAGCACACCGTGCTGTCAATTCACCCCGTTGTCAACTCAGCACACTGCCAACTCAACGCGTTGCCAAATCACTGTGCTGCCAACTCAGCACGCTGCTAGCTCAGCACGCTGCCAACTCAGCACACTGCCAACTTACCGCACTGTCGACAGCCTGAATGGACTGCCAAGGCACGAGGAAGAGGTCGGGCGGCACCTGCATGCCAACTGTTAATCCGTGCCAGCTCGGCGTGCTGCGTACTCACCAAACAGCTAACTAACTGTGCTGCAGACGGCCTTGATGGACTGGCGGGGTACGAGGAAGAGGTTGGGCCACGTGATAAAAGTAGTGTTTCGAGACGTCTCAAAACATCACTTTTATCACGTGGACTGGCGGGGTACGAGGAAGAGGTTGGGCCACACCTGCGGGCCAACTCAACGCGCTGCCAACTCATCGTTTTGTCAAACCAATACGTTTCACTCAGCGTGTTACCAACTCACCGCACTGCCAACAGCCTCGATGGGCTGGCGAGGCACGAGGAAGAGGTTGGGCGGCACCTGCATGCCCACCGTCACCGTTCTGCCAAACCAGTACATTGTCACACAACATGCTGCTAACTCACCACACTGCCTGCCAACTCATCGCTGCCGACTCACCGCGCTGCCAACAGCCTCAATGGACTGCCGAGGCACGAGGAAGAGGTTGGGCGGCACCTGCATGCCCACCGTCACCGCCATCTGCCCTTGCAGCATACTCCGGCCAGCACTCTGCAGGCCACCGTAGCTCATGCTGCTGCTACTGCTGCTGCTGCTGCCAGTTCTGCTGGTGCTGCTGTAAGCGGTCACAGTGTTACCACCAACAGCACTGCTACTGCTGCTGCTGCTGAAGCTGAAGCTAGAGCCGTTCCCCTGCGCTTGCCTGCTGCTGCTGGCGTAGCTGGTGGTAACAGCGGGCTGGTTCGGTCGGGCGGCAGACTGGGCGAAAAGAGATCCGCGCACGTCAAGAGAGAAGTTGGCAGGGTCGTAGTCCACTCCTTTGAGCTCCCAGTTGGTCTGATATGGACGAGGAGGACGAGGGGATAGGGAAGGAGAGACCTCTGAGTCGATCAATAAACCAGCAGTGCAGTGCAGTCGAGAGAAAAGCTGGCAGGGTCGTAGTCCACACCCTTGACCTTCCATCCCTGCTGATCTGGAATGGAAGCGGGCGCAGCACATAGGTAAGGAGGGAGGTTTGCAGTGAAGAGCAACTCACGCACGCTTGGTGGAAAGGAAACATGAGAGAACATGTACGATGGTCACCAGTGGCATACCTTGCCATGATTCGTACCAACAACGCATGTGGTGAACCCCACCGCTTGCACACCCCACCGCTTGCATACGCCTCACCATTCACATGCTCACCGCTTGCAGGCGCATGACGTGTTTCACAGAGGAGGCATCTCGAACCCTATCCAGCAGCAGGGAGGGGCTGTCGAGAAAAATTCGCATGTCCACTATTGGGCGCGCTGTGACGAGGAAGAAGGTGATTGGCAGCATGTGGATTCGCCACTCGTCCTGCACACGGGAGCACAAAAATGCTGAGCTGAATGCGCATGTGCTTGTACCAGTGATTGTGGTTCAATGTTCTTCGACTCGCAGAAATGGATATTGACCAGCAAGACCAGATCAACACACTACTCCTGAAAATTCCCTTCCTTGTACAACAAACCCATTTGAATCGAGGCATCGCCTGCTTGCCTCCTCAAGCCAGCAGCACGCATCACACCACTCCTACCAATCGCCACATGAGAACAAGTGACGACAGCACAGCAGAGCGTGGCACCAAACAGTGCTGTGGGCACTCCCTTACCTCGGAGAGCTTTTCTGAGCGCTGCTTGTCCGGGAAGAATGCGTCAAAGACACGGTTGGGGTTCTCCAGGTACTCGTGGAATGGCGCCTGGTGCCGGTGCATCGTGACAGAGGGAGAGAAGGGAGAGTAGGGGGTGAAGATGAATGGCATGTTTGAGTGTGGCTCAAGATGGCGTCAAAGAATCTGTTGGGGTTCTCCAGGTACTCGTGGAAGGGCGCCTGGTGGCGGGTGGGTGCAGCGAGAGAGAAGGGCAGGAGCGGGAAGATTAATGGGAATTTTGAGTCAGCTCAAGAAGGCGGCACAAGACCCGGTTCGGATTCTCCAGGTGCTTTTGAAGGGGCGCCTGATGGCGTGGCGGGTGCAGCGAGAGAAAGGGCAGGAGGGAAAATTTGAGTGATTCTTTAGAATTCTTAAAAATTGCTCAAAAGATGAGTGCGCGCAGTCCGCTGTGACATGTGGCATAGGAACACGGATTTTGCTCCAAACAGCAGTTTGAAGACACGAGGGTAAGAATGGGTAAGATTGGAAAGACGTGACGGCGAAAGAGCAGCGGCGGATGGTGCGGATGGTGCGGAGAGGGCTACCTCAGGTCGTTACCGCGGCGGAATGTCGGTGTCAAGCGACGCTGTGAATTCCACTAAGTCCCCAAGCCCGTTTGAGGCGCCTCAACAGCTTACTTCGAATATTACACCGAATGAAATGAGAGTTGAAACGTCTCAAGATCCAGAACCTTACTTCTGGTCGTTCTCGGAGCGGAATGTTGGTGTCGAGCGACGCGGTGAATTCCACGAAGTCGACACTCGCCTGCGCGACTCCCGCTAGCGCTCGCTGGCCATGTCGGCCGCGATTTCCGCCGTCAATGCCGGCGCTACTTCGTCGAAGTCGTTTCGGAAGGCCGGGAACGAGCTGATTCCGCAATTGCGAACTCGATTCTCGCGAGGTGCGCGAAGAATTCGCGAATTCGGAACGATTTGAGCAGTGAGGTTGGCGACGTAGCGACAAGCCTGGCGACTGGGTGCGACGGGTGACGAGGCCAGCGACTGCTTGTCGCCGCGCGGTGCACGTGATGAGAGCGCCATTCGCGGCGACGGCCGCTCCCCGGGTTGCTAGCGCTCCCAACGCCGCCATCGCAGGAGTCACCAAGGCGAAAAAAGTTGATTATCGAAGCTCACCAGAGTCGACTCAAGAAGCAGCGTAGCACACTCGTCGTACGAAAAATACTTGATGGACCCCTACGGTACTATCTAGGATCCTCGAGTGGCTGCTGTCCTGGGAAGCACTGTGGAGTGGAAATGCTGTAAACAGGATGCACGCATGAGGTGGGGGAGGGGGAGCAGGGCGGCAATCCCGAGGGCGGACGCCTGTCAGGGGCGCTGTGTTTGTGTCAAGGTGGGCTCCTCGTGTCGTTTGGGCTTCCCGTTGGCAGTCAGTTGGCCGACCCGAAGTCCGTAACAAAGCCCGTAGTGCAGGTGCGCGTGCCAATTCCAAAGAACAGGACTTCTCTTGAGCATTTCGTGTGCACACAGATCAGGTAGGAAAACGGAATGGTGACAAATCTCGTAAGCAGAGGTAAGATGTCAGTGCAGTCGATTAATCACAATGTGAACCTGAAGAAGCTTCTAACGAATCAGAAACATTGGTTTGGATCGAGCATTGCTGTCACGTTCTGGGATATCGACACATGTCAGCTACTAGCTGATCAGCAGCTCGACCCCTCTCATTCCACACCATGGCGCCTCGAGAAAGAAGCTCCGAGTCCGTCACAGATGGCGCCGCGGTTTTCTATCCACAACTTATCCTCTCGCGTCGCGTGCCGGACTCCGTCTCCGGGTCGCGATTCTGGTTCAGAAATTCACTCCCTCTCGTCCCGTCCTTCCCACGGTCGCACGTAAAACCGCGAATCTTCCGCATCTCATTTCGTCAGTTCCCCACCCGCAAGAAATTGTTCTCCGTTGATTAACGCGATATCGTGAAACCTGTCGTGCTCCCTTTGAATTTTCGTACGCGCTATCGGCAGCGTACTAAAGAGTGCAACCATGCAGGAGAAGCATCAGCAGCAGCAGCAGCAGCAGCAGCAGCAGCAGCAGCAGCAGCAGCAGCAGCAGCAGCAGCCGCAGCAGCAGCAGCAGCAGCAGCAGCAGCAGCAGCAGCAGCAGCAGCAGCAGCAGCAGCAGCAGCAGCAGCAGCAGCCGCAGCAGCAGCAGCAGCAGCCGCAGCAGCCGCAGCAGCCGCAGCAGCCGCAGCAGCCGCAGCAGCCGCAGCAGCCGCAGCAGCCGCAGCAGCCGCAGCAGCCGCAGCAGCCGCAGCAGCCGCCGCCGCCGCAGCAGCCGCAGCAGCCGCAGCGGCGGCAGCGGCGGCAGCGGCGGCGGCAGCGGCAGCGGCAGCGGCAGCGGCAGCGGCAGCGGTGCGGCAGCGGCGGGGCAGCGGCGGCGGCAGCGGCGGCGGCAGCAGCGGCGGCAGCAGCGGCGGCAGCAGCGGCGGCAGCAGCGGCGGCAGCAGCGGCGGCAGCAGCGGCGGCAGCAGCGGCGGCAGCAGCGGCGGCAGCAGCGGCGGCAGCAGCGGCGGCAGCAGCCGCGGCAGCAGCCGCAGCAGCAGCCGCGGCAGCAGCGGCAGCGGCAGCGGCAGCGGCAGCCCCGGCAGCCGGCACCCGGCAGCCGGCACCCGGCAGCCCGCAGCCCGCAGCCCGCAGCCAGCAGCCAGCAGCCAGCAGCCAGCAGCCAGCAGCCAGCAGCCAGCAGCCAGTGTTACAATACTAAGTTAACTAGGAACCGGGTTTAGGGCCTAGGCTTAGTAGCCTAGGCCAAGCGGGTGTGGAGGGAGTTGTGCCAAGAGAGAATCGAGAATGTGTATTGTTCACTATAGCACACAAGGTACATATAGCAAACTAGCAAAGGTGCACCACCAACAAGGAAACATAACTACACTTGAGCTAAAGCTACAGGCAGTTATAAATATATATAAATATATATCGCGACACACCCCCTTAACTGCCTGCAGCACATAGCTAGAGTAAGTCACACCCCCTGAAAGGGTATTGCAGGCGTTGAGAAAGACGGTAGAGAGGTGAGGAGGAGGCGAGAGAGAGACAGGGGAGGAGAGGAGATAAGAACAAAGGAGGAGGTGAGTGAGGGATGAGGAGAGGAGGTGGGGGGGTGGCCGCGGCATCCCCTCTTACTAACCCCCTTTTACACAGGGGAGGTTGAGTGGGGGATGAGGAGTGGAGGTGGGGGGGTGGCCGCAGCGTCCCCTCTTACTAACCCCCACATCCCCACCCTCAATCAACCAACCCCCTGTAACCTCACCCCCCATTTCAACCGTCCCCTGGAACCGCACTCCCTCCCTCCTGTTCTTCCTCCAGACCCCTCCCCACCCACGATGGTCCCTGTCCAGTTCTTCACAGGTGGGGCTGCTGGTCACAGGTGGGGCTGCTGGTCACAGGTGGAGCTGCTGGTCACGGGTGGGGCTGCTGGTCACGGGTGGGGCTGCTGGTCACAGGTGGGGCTGCTGGTCACAGGTGGGGCTGCTGGTCACATGTGGGGCTGCTGGTCACAGGTGGGGCTGCTGGTCACAGGTGGGGCTGCTGGTCACAGGTGGGGCTGCTGGTCACAGGTGGGGCTGCTGGTCACAGGTGGGGCTGCTGGTCACGGGTGGGGTTGCTGGTCACGGGTGGGGCTGCTGGTCACAGGTGGGGCTGCTGGTCACAGGTGGGGCTGCTGGTCACAGGTGGGGCTGCTGGTCACAGGTGGGGCTGCTGGTCACAGGTGGGGCTGCTGGTCACAGGTAGGGCTGCTGGTCACAGGTGCCTGGTGCTGGCGGCTGGCGCTGGTGCTGGTGCCTGGTGCTGGCGGCTGGCGCTGGTGCTGGTGCCTGGTGCTGGTGCCTGGTGCTGGTGGCTGGCGCTGGTGCTGGTGCCTGGTGCTGGCGGCTGGCGCTGGCGCTGGTGCCTAATGCTGGCGGCTGGCGCTGGTGCTGGTGCCTGGTGCCTGGTGCTGGCGGCTGGCACTGGTGCTGGTGCCTGGTGCTGGCGGCTGGCGCTGGTGCTGGTGCCTGGTGCTGGCGGCTGGCGCTGGTGCTGGTGCCTGGTGTTGGCGCTGGTGCTGGTGCCTGGTGCCTGGTGCTGGCGGCTGGCGCTGGTGCTGGTGCCTGACGGCTGGCGCTGGTCCTGGTGGCTGGCGCTGGCGTAACGGCGCTGGTGCCGGTGCTGGTGCTGGTGACTGGCTTCGGTGCTGGTGCTGGTTCCTGGTGCTGGTGGCTGGCGCTGGTGCTGGTGCCTGGTGCTGTTCCGCCGCCACTCCCTTCCCCCTTGTCCTCTCTCCCCCACAGCATTCCGCCGCCACTCCCTTCCCCCTTTCCCTCTCCCACCCGCAGCGTTCCGCCGCCAATCCCTTCCCCTCCTCCCTCTCCCACCCACAGCGACCGCAGCTGCACACGCGAACAGTCGCGACGGGGGAGGGGGGGGGTGACGAGCAGGGGGCCGGGGGAATGCGACGGGCGGAGCGAGGCGAAGGGAAGGAAGAAAACGGGACGGGGGGGAAAGGGCCGCGACGACCGCCACCGTCGCCGTCCCCTTCATTCCCGATGCCGTCCCCCCCCCTTCCCCACTCTCGCGCAAACTCGGCAGCAGGCGTAGGCGCGGGCAGAGGTGGTGAGGGTGGGGAAATGCGACGGGCTGACGACGGGGGAAACGCGACGCGCTGGCGACGTGGGAAACGCGATGAGCTGGCGATGGGGGAAACGCGACGGGCTGGCGACGGGGGGAAAACGCGACGGGATGGCGACGGGCAGGCGACGAGGGAAAAAACGACGGGCTGGCGACGAGGGAAACGCGGCCGGCTCGCCGCCGCGCCCGTCGCAGCGAGCGCTGTGCCACGAATAGGTGGGCCCATTAACTTAGGTCAGGAACTTAATCGCTCTATACCATGTTACAATACTAAATTAACTAGGAACCGGGTTTAGGGCCTAGGCTTAGTAGCCTAGGCCAAGCGGGTGTGGAGGGAGTTGTGCCAAGAGAGAATCGAGAATGTGTATTGTTCACTATAGCACACAAGGTACATATAGCAAACTAGCAAAGGTGCACCACCAACAAGGAAACATAACTACACTTGAGCTAAAGCTACAGGCAGTTATAAATATATATAAATATATATCGCGACAGCCAGCAGCCAGCAGCCAGCAGCCAGCAGCCAGCAGCCAGTGTCGAGACTAGAACGGGTGAAAAGATTGACTAAGGGAAACGAGATACAAGAGGATATAGCTAACCCTAGGAATATGAAATGGTACACCTAGACTAACAAAAACTAAACATATAAAATATATGTTGACACACCCCCATAGTCTAGGTGACGGCAGTCCTGTGGAAAGCAACACAAATCTCAGGGTGGGTCTCAAGGACACACACATTCTGAGAGCAAGCAAGGGTCACGTGACCGGTCAGCAAGAACAAGCAAGGGTCACAAGACCAATCCACAAGAACAAGACAAATCTCAGGGTGGAGCTCAAAGTCACCACACACTCCGAGAGCAAGCAAGAGGCCACAAGGCCAGTCCACATGCAGGTATATAGCAAATATAATGAGATGCAAGAGTACAAGACAAGCAGGACAAAGCATCTCTACGTAAGCAAGTGAGGACGGGCAGGCACAAGGCCAAGCTGGGTGCAGAAACGCTGGTGGTCACAAGGCGGCATCGCCTTGGTGAAGATATCTGCCGTGTTGGCCTCAGAGACCACGCGTCGTACGAGTGCCTGGCCACGCTGCTGCAACTCACGCAGAAGGAAGTAACGAAGCTGGATGTGCTTCGACTTCCCAACCAGTCGGGGCTCCTCACACAACAGGACAGCAGACCTGTTGTCGGCGAACAAGACTGGGGGAGAGCGAGGCCGCTCACCAAGGTCGGTGAGAAGGAAAGACAGCCAGCGAAGCTCCTGAGCGGCCATGGCCGCAGCGTACACCTCTGCCTCACAGCTGGAACCGGAGACGGACGACGCCCGAGTCGACCGCCACGAAACAGCACCTGTCCCGAGGCTAAAGGAGTACCCCTGTGTAGACCGACGCGTCTCCGCGTCGTCGGCCCACGACGAGTCCGAGTAACCTGTGAGTGTAACTGGCTGCTTCCCTCCAAGGACAAGTCCCATGCCTGATGTACTCGCCACATACTTCGCCACCCTCTTAGCAGCGTACCAGTGGGACGGTCGGTGTCTCCCAGGCGCAACAAAGCGCGCAAGGACGCTAAGAGGGTAAGCTAGGTCTGGGCGAGTACATGTCATCAGGTACATGAGACAACCCACCAGCTCAGGATATGGACCACTGGGCTCAAATGACTCGTCCGAAGGTGGAGCCGTGAGCCCATGATCCACACCAAGAGGGGTGAGCTGTACCTTGGAGAACGGGAAGCGAAACCGCGTGAGGATCTGCTCGACCATATGCGACTGCGTCAGCGTAATGGTGCGAGCTGCCCTGTCCCTAGTGATCTGCAGGCCAAGGTAGTGCTGCAGCTCACCAAGGTCAGTGCAAGTGTGTCTCCTCTGCAGTTCCTCCTTCACGGAGGCCAGTGCGTGTCGGTCGGGAGTGGCGAAGACCAGGTCGTCAACGTAAACAAGAACAAAGAACGGGGTCGAGCCACGGCGGACGAACAGTGACGGGTCGGCAGACGACGGAAAGAAGTCAAGCGCTGCAAGGGTCGAGCGAAGTGTGTCGTGCCACTCACGTGGAGCCTGACGCAGGCCGTAGGCTGGTCGACGCAGCTGCCACTGGGTCCCAGGTGGGAAAGAGCCAGTGAAGCCAGGCGGGCGACGCAGCCAGATCTGCTCGTGCAGGCTCCCCTGAAGGAACGCGGTGGAAAAGTCTAGAGAGTGCAACTCGTAGTCGCGCTGGGCTGCAATGTGCAGCAACACCCGAAGAGTACTCATCTTTGGGGTGGGAGCGAAGGTCTGGAAGAAGTCCACCCCCGCTCGCTGACTGAAGCCTCTCGCCACATAGCGCGCCTTGAACACTGGTGGTGATCCAGGCGGCCGCTTCACCTTGTAGAGCCATCGGCCACTGACGACGTTCGTCCCAGGTGGTGGGACTGCGTCGACGTAAGTGCCTGTGGACCTATAAGATGCCATCTCTGCCTCCTCAGCTGCTATCCAGTACGAGGCCCAAGGTCCCGAGACCGCCTCAGCGTGAGTGCGAGGGATCGGAATGTCAAGAGCGTCTGGATCCCCCTCAGGGGCAAGCAGCATGGCGCAGAGATGAGGAACAGCGGCCGCAAGGAAACCAAGCTCAAACTGCCTGTCCTCCAGGACCTCCAAGGGAAAGACAGGAGCACCCCCAGAGGACGGAGAACGAGCAGCGCCACTCATCAGGTGAGCGGCGTAGTCAAGGCGGTGGGAAGAGGCAAAGTCAGCGACAGTGGTAACAAGTGCTGAGACAGACGACAAGGGTGCAGTCGGGTGAGTGACCAACGCGGACAAAACACGGGAGACAACAGGACGGGAGGCACGAAGGTATTCGGACAACGGGTCGTGAAGCACAGTGAGGGACGACTCAGGGGGCTGTGGAAGGACGGGAGGAGGTGGAACACGAGAGCGAAGAACGAGGTGGAACGGACCGTCTGCACGGTAACGGGACCGACGACGCTCAGGGGACACAGCACGACTGAGGGGAGAACGACGAGTCCACTGTGACGAGGAAAGGGACTCAACAGGGGGAACAGGAGGGGACGGTAGGGGACCACGAACAAAGCGTGCAGGTGATGGGTCGGGGAGGTCGCGTAGTCGCAGTCGGTGCTGCTCCGCCTCCTCTGGCGTCTGCTGCGACGGTACCGGCCCCTGCTGCTGCTCCTGTGGCTCCGCCTCTGCCCTCTCCTGCTGCGACTGCAGCTGCACCCGCTGCTGGGACCGGGACTCCTCCTCTACTCTCTCCTGCTGGGTCTGTAACTGCACCTGCTGCTGCGGGTGGGACTCCTGCTCTACCCTCTCCTGGTGCGGCGGTGACTGCTCCTCTACTCGCTCCTGCCGGGTCTGTAACTGCACCTGCTGCTGCGGGTGGGACTCCTGCTCTACCCTCTCCTGGTGCGGCCGTGACTCCTCCTCTACCCTCTCCTGCTGCGGCTGTGACTCCTCCTCTACTCTCTCGTGCTGCTGCTGCTGCTGCTGCTGTGCCCTCTCAAACCGCGCACGCTCCTCCCTCTCCAACTGGAAGAGACGCTGCTCACGGGTCAGGAAACGTACAGTGCGCGGTGTAGGCGCCACAGTGCCAGTGCCTCCAGCTCCAGCACCCCCAGAACCAACACCTCCACCGTCGACACCCCCGGAGCCTCCAGTGCCTCCCGCAGTAGCACCCCCGGGCTCCGCAGAAACCAGCCGCAGAGAAGAACGAGGAGGGAACTGCGGGACGGACGGGAAGCCAGGGGGTGACGCGGGGCGAGGCCGCCGGCTCGAGGCTGCCGTGTCCTCCACGGGAGTGACCTCCACACCCACAACCCCTGCACCCCCAGAGCCGACACCACCAGCTCCTGCAGCCCCAGTACCCTCACCCTCCGCAACTGCACCTCCCGCACCCTCAAACACGACACGGACTGGACGCTGCGGGGGGGACGACTGCGGAGTGACGTGCGACACACCTGACGGGGCAGGACGCGAAGGGGGGGGGGGCTACCGGGGCGACTGGGGGGGGCTCAAGGGTGAGGAACAGCGGGGGGGAAAAGGCCTCAGTACCTCGGTGGGGGCGACTCCTGTAGTAACAGACAGACTCGTCGAACGTGACGTCCTGAGAAGCGAAGAACTGGTAGGTGGCCGGGTCGTAGAACAACCAGCCGGAGGCGTCCAAAGGGAAACCAAGAAAGACGCAGGCACGGGTGCGCGGAGACAACTTGTTCGCGCCAGGGGCGCGAACGTGAGCCAGAGAGCCCCAGACACGGAAGTCAGCTGCTACGCCCGGAGAACCTGTCCAAAGGGAGACCGGCGTCACCCGTGGCCGTGCGTCACTAGGCCACAGGTTCAGCTGGTGCGCGGCGTAGCGGACTGCCTGGGGCCACAAGAACTGGGGGGCACCGGCATGGCACATGGAGGTCCGGGCAACCTCCATGACCAGGCCGATGCGACGCTCGGCTACCCCGTTCTGCTGCGGCGAGGCTGGTAACGTGTAAGACTGGATGATCCCCCGACCCTGACAGAACGTCTCCAGTCGAGTGGAAGAGAACTCACCACCACGATCCGAGTGTAGACGGAGCCCACACAGGCCCTGGGCGCCACCCCTCGCTAGTAGCCACGGCTCGAGGACGGTAGGCACGTCGGCCTTCCGTCGCAAAGGGAAAACCGTGGTGTAGCGGGAGTAGTCGTCCACCACAATCAGGAAGTAGCGCTCCTGACGTGGGCCAAGGACCGGGGAGGGGCCCCAGACGTCCAAGTGCAGGGTCTGGAAGGGAGACGTGGTGGGGGGGAACGAGGAGGAGTGAGGGGCAGCGCGCTGCCGACCCTCGACGCAAGGAGTGCACGGCGGCGCTGGAGAGCGGGGAAGCGGGGCAAGCGACGCTGGGAGACCTGAGACCAGACGGTGACGTGCCATCCTACTGAGACGTGGGAACGACGGGTGACCTAGACGGTGGTGCCAGAGGACCGACGGGTGGGTGAGGGACCGACAGTCACACGACACAGCGGCTACCTGACCTGACCTGACCAGACCTGACCCAGTGTGGTGGGACCCGGTGTGTAGTGAGTACAGACCAGAGCCCGGCTCCCTGCGAAAGGTGGCCAGAGGGGCCCCAGTGGTACCGACTGTGCAGGAGGCAACTGACTCCTCTAAGGGAAAAGTGGTGACTACTCCGAGGTCGTGGAGGTGGCTGACACCCACCAGGTTCCTAGAGAACGAGGGGGTGTAGTAACCTGTAAGGACCCCAGAGGGAGCAGCCGGACACGGGAGAGTGGTGGTGCTGCGAGCAACCACAGGTCCCACAGAGGGGTCGGCCAAGGCAACAGTGGAGGTGGAGGTAGTGGGGCCTATGGGCCCATGTCGAGACTAGAACGGGTGAAAAGATTGACTAAGGGAAACGAGATACAAGAGGATATAGCTAACCCTAGGAATATGAAATGGTACACCTAGACTAACAAAAACTAAACATATAAAATATATGTTGACAGCCAGCAGCCAGCAGCCAGCAGCCAGCAGCCAGCAGCCAGCAGCCAGCTGTCGCGATATATATTTATATATGTTTATAACTGCCTGTAGCTTTAGCTTTAGTGTAGTTATGTTTCTTTGTTGTGGTGGTGCACCTCTTTGTTTCTTTGCTATATGTTCTTGCAAACCTATAGTGAAGACACACATTCTCGATTCCCTCTTGGCACAACTCCCTCGACACCCGCTTGGCCTAGGCTACTAAGCCTAGGCCCTTAGTTAAACCCGTTCCTAGCTAAGTTCGTCTCATGACATGGTAACATAGTGGTCCGTCCTAGGACCTATTTCGTTTATGGGCCCACCACATTTCGCGACTGCTACAGTTAGTGGCGCGAAATCCGCACCTTGCGTATCTTTTTGTTTTTTCCCTGCTGCTCGCGCTGCCCCCCGTCTCCTGCCTCGTCGCGGCTCTCAGCGTGACGGGCGCGGCGGACGCTATGGCGAACGCCAGCGGACCCGCCGCCAGCGACCCGCCAGCGAAGTCGCCAGCGGCCCGCGATCGCGTTTGCGCCATCGACTGCAGCCAGCGCCACCTTGCACCTCGCCCGTCGCACCGGCGGTCGCTGTGGGGGGGAGAGGGAAGAAGGGATGGGAGTGGCGGCGGAACTCTGTGGGGGCGAGAGGGAAGAGGGGATAGGAGTGACGGGGGAACGCCAGCGACGATCGCCAGAGCACTGGCGATCGCCCCAGCCGCTCATTCGCCCGCTCTGCCCGTCGCATTCCCCCCGCCCCCTGCCCGTCACCCCCCCCCCCCCCCCATCGCGACTGTTTGCGTGTGCAGCGGCGGTCGCCATGGGGAGGAGAGGGAGGAGGGGAAGGGAGTGGCGGTGGGACGCTGTGGAAAGGAGAGAGAGGAGGGGAAGGGAGTGGTGGCGGAACAGCACCAGCGCCAGCCGCCAGCACCAGCGCCAGCCGCCAGCACCAGGAACCAGCCCCAGCGCCAGCCGCCAGCACCAGGAACCAGCCCCAGCGCCAGCCGCCAGCACCAGGAACCAGCCCCAGCGCCAGCCGCCAGCACCAGGAACCAGCCCCAGCGCCAGCCGCCAGCACCAGGAACCAGCCCCAGCGCCAGTCGCCAGCACCAGGAACCAGCCCCAGCGCCGGCCGCCAGCACCAGGAACCAGCCCCAGTGCCAGCCGTCAGCACCAGGAACCAGCACCAGCGCCAGCCGCCAGCACCAGGAACCAGCCCCAGCGCCAGCCGCCAGCATCAGGAACCAGCCCCAGTGCCAGCTGCCAGCACCAGGAACCAGCACCAGCGCCAGCCGCCAGCACCAGCACCAGCAACCCCACCTGTGACCAGCAGCCCCACCTGTGACCAGCAGCCCCACCTGTGACCAGCAGCCCCACCTATGACCAGCAGCCCCACCTGTGACCAGCAGCCCTACCTGTGGCCAGCAGCCCCACCTGTGACCAGCAGCCCCACCTGTGACCAGCAGCCCCACCTGTGACCAGCAGCCCCACCTGTGACCAGCAGCCCCACCTGTGACCAGCAGCCCCACCTGTGCCCAGCAGCCCACCTGTGAAAGACTGTACAGGGACCATCGTGGGTTGGGAGAGGTATGGAGGAAGACAGGGGTGGAGGGAGTGCGGTTCCAGGGGGCGACTGAAATGGGGGGTGAGGTTGAGGGCGGGTGGTTGGTTGGGGGTGGGGATGTGGGGGTTAGTAAGAGGGGACGCTGCGGCCACCCCCCCACCTCTTCTCCTCATCCCCCACTCAACCCCCCCTTTCGTAAAAGGGGGTTAGTAAGAGGGGACGCTGCGGCCACCCCCCACCTCCTCTCCTCATCCCCCACTCACCTCCTCCTGTGTTCTTATCTATTCTCCTCTCCTCTCTTCCTCTTGCCTCCTCCTCCTCACGTACCCCTCTGCCGTCTCCCACCGCACCTGCCCCTTCAGGGGGTGTGACTTGCTCTAGCTATGTGCTGCAGGCAGTTAAGGGGGTGTGTCGCGATATATATTCATATATGTTTATAACTGCCTGTAGCTTTAGCTTTAGTGTAGTTATGTTTCTTTGTTGTGGTGGTGCACCTCTTTGTTTCTTTGCTATATGTTCTTGCAAACCTATAGTGAAGACACACATTCTCGATTCTCTCTTGGCACAACTCCCTCGACACCCGCTTGGCCTAGGCTACTAAGCCTAGGCCCTTAGTTAAACCCGTTCCTAGCTAAGTTCGTCTCATGACACCAGCAGCCAGCAGCCAGCAGCCAGCAGCCAGCAGCCAGCAGCCAGCTGTCAACATATATTTTATATGTTTAGTTTTTGTTAGTCTAGGTGTACCATTTCATATTCCTAGGGTTAGCTATATCCTCTTGTATCTCGTTTCCCTTAGTCAATCTTTTCACCCGTTCTAGTCTCGACATGGTATAGAGCTAGTCGACCCTATGGGCCCACCGCCCCGTGCCCCGACCTAGGAACGTAGCCACTTAATACCCGAAGCGCCCTGCTACCCCCCCTTAGCTCGCGCGTCACCCGTAGTGCCCTGAGCGCGTCATCCGTTTAGCCCAAAGCGTCACCCTTTTTTTTTTCACCCGCGCCTCACCCGTTTTCTGCCCCGTGCGTAGCTCGCCAGCCCGCTAGCGCGCAGCAGGCCCATGCGCACGTGCAGTCGTAGCCGCACATGCGACCGCGCGCACGCGCAGCATTAGCCGCACGCACGTGCAGCATTAGCCGTACGCACGCGCGGCATTAGGAGCACGCACGCGCGGCATTAGCAGCATGCACGCGCGGCCATAGCTGCACGCACGCGCAGCAATAGCCACACGCACGCACAGCCCGCCAGCTGCGGTACCGTCTCACCCGTCCCCGCTGACCCACCTGGTGCCCGCTGTACCACCCGTCCCAGCCGCCCCACCAGTTACTCTCCCCCGCCCAGAACCGTACAGCACCGCGTAGAAACGCACAGAACCGTGCGACACCGCCCAGAACCTTACCTGCTGACCCATCCGCACCAGCCAGAGCTGCTACCCCACCCCGTACTCTCCACCGCACTGAACCGTGCAGAACCGCGCAGAACCGGGCAGAACCGCACTGAACCGTGCAGAACCGCGCAGAACCGGGCAGAACCGCACAGAACTGCGCAGAACAGCACAGAATCGTGCGGCGCCGCCCAGAACCTTACCTGCTGACCCACCCACACTAGCCAGAGCTGCTACCCCACCCGGTACTCTCCCTCGCACAGAACCGTGCAGCACCGCACTGAACAGGGCAGAACTGCACAGAACCACGCAGCACCGCACAGAACTGCACCCACTGCCCCACCTGTACCAGCCAGAGCTGCTGCCCCACCCGTTCCCGTCACCACACCAGTAACCAGCCGCTATCCACCTCACTGAACCACCTGGTACCGCTCTCAAACGTACTAGACCCCACCCGAGCGTGCCCGTTCATTGCCCTCGCGCCAGGGCCTCCTCCCATGGCCACTTCTCGTATTCTCACGTTTGATCCTGAGGGTAGGCCGGTAGACTTCCCAGGATGGCTCCGCAAACTCAAGCTTTTCCTAGGGAGTAGGATCGAGAACGACGTTCGCCTTCTGGACCATGCCACGGGCAAACTCGTAGCCCCGAAGGAACCCGACCCCTTAGGTTCCTCCCCGTCGGACGAAGAGGAAGCTCGCTTTGAGAAGCTGCAGCTGGCGGCCAGTCGGTGGGCGGCGCGGGACGACGCCACAGTGCTCGCCATCACCGATCTCCTGCCCCTGACAGAGCAGCAGCACTTCGAGCAGGAGGTGACGGCCAAGGGCCTGTTTGATGCTGTCGTCAAACGTTATTCCACCCCAACCACTGCTTCCCTCGGTCGGCTTGTACTGCCCTTCCTATTTCCTGACCTGCCCTCGTTTCACCGCGTCCCTGACCTTGTGCTGCACTTGCGCTCGCTTGATGCCCAGCTCCGTTCTGCTGCCCCTGATGATGCCCTACTTGCCGCCAACCCCCCCCCGATGTGGATGACACTGTACCTGCTGTCCACCCGCCTCCCTGACCGTTTTGCTACAGCCCGTGACCACTTTCTCACTGTTAACCCCATGTCCCTCACCATTGACCTCTTTGAGAAGAGGCTCACTGCTGTTGAAGACCTTGCCCGTTCCCTTGCTGCTGCCTCCGGTACTGCCCTCCCCCCCATCTTTGAGGGATGTGCTCCGTCCTTCCTAGCTTCCCCTGTCGATTCGGCGTCTGTTGCCACTGTACCAGAGGTGGCAGCCGTTGCCCTTGGCAACAAAGGGGGCAAGAAGGGGGGTAAGAAGGGAGGAGGTGGTGGCAGTGGTGGGGGTGGCGGAGGGGGCGGTGGTGGGGGTGGCGGAGGGGGCGGTGGTGGAGGTGGCGTAGGGGGTGGTGGTGGAGGAGGTGGAGGGGGTGGGAGTGGTGGAGGAGGCGGAGGAGGAGGCAGTGGAGGTGGAGGTAGTGGGGCCCCCCAGCAGCAGCAGCCTCACCAGCAGCAGCCGCAGCAGCCGCAGCCACAGCAGCAGCGGCAGCAGCAGTTCCAGGGCCAGCGCCAGCAGACGCCGCAGCAGCAGTGGAGGTCCCCTGGACCCGGGAGCTCTGTCAGCAGCAGCGGCCCGCCCAGCTGGACGTCGCGTGGTCCAGCCCAGCACCCCCCCTGCCAGTATAGGGTGCTGACTGGGCCGCGTGGAGGCTACCCTTGTGGCCGCTTCCACCCCCCGGGTCAGTGCTTTGCACAGCTCACTGACCGCTACCGTGCGCAGTTTGGCCCCACCCGCACTGTCCCCGATTGGGCCTCACTGGCTCGTTCTGTTGGCCCGCAGTTGTATAGCATGACTGCACCTCAGTTAGATGAGGCTGTGCGTTCTATGTCTGTGATGTATGCCGATGACTCTATTGTTGATGATTTTGTGTACTATTCCTGTTTCTCTAGCTTAGGTGCTGTAGAGGTTGCTAGTGCTTTCCCTGCTAGCGTAGCTTGTCCAGGTTCGACCACCGAGACTGCGTCCCTGTCGTTCACACTCGACTCTGGGGCGTCCAGCTGTTTCTTTCGTGACCGCGCCGACCTCACACCACTACGCACCCCCGTCACTGTTGCCTTGGCCGACCCCTCTGTGGGACCTGTGGTTGCTCGCAGCACCACCACTCTCCCGTGTCCGGCTGCTCCCTCTGGGGTCCTTACAGGTTACTACACCCCCTCGTTCTCTAGGAACCTGGTGGGTGTCAGCCACCTCCACGACCTCGGAGTAGTCACCACTTTTCCCTTAGAGGAGTCAGTTGCCTCCTGCACAGTCGGTACCACTGGGGCCCCTCTGGCCACCTTTCGCAGGGAGCCGGGCTCTGGTCTGTACTCACTACACACCGGGTCCCACCACACTGGGTCAGGTCTGGTCAGGTCAGGTCAGGTAGCCGCTGTGTCGTGTGACTGTCGGTCCCTCACCCACCCGTCGGTCCTCTGGCACCACCGTCTAGGTCACCCGTCGTTCCCACGTCTCAGTAGGATGGCACGTCACCGTCTGGTCTCAGGTCTCCCAGCGTCGCTTGCCCCGCTTCCCCGCTCTCCAGCGCCGCCGTGCACTCCTTGCGTCGAGGGTCGGCAGCGCGCTGCCCCTCACTCCTCCTCGTTCCCCCCCACCACGTCTCCCTTCCAGACCCTGCACTTGGACGTCTGGGGCCCCTCCCCGGTCCTTGGCCCACGTCAGGAGCGCTACTTCCTGATTGTGGTGGACGACTACTCCCGCTACACCACGGTTTTCCCTTTGCGACGGAAGGCCGACGTGCCTACCGTCCTCGAGCCGTGGCTACTAGCGAGGGGTGGCGCCCAGGGCCTGTGTGGGCTCCGTCTACACTCGGATCGTGGTGGTGAGTTCTCTTCCACTCGACTGGAGACGTTCTGTCAGGGTCGGGGGATCATCCAGTCTTACACGTTACCAGCCTCGCCGCAGCAGAACGGGGTAGCCGAGCGTCGCATCGGCCTGGTCATGGAGGTTGCCCGGACCTCCATGTGCCATGCCGGTGCCCCCCAGTTCTTGTGGCCCCAGGCAGTCCGCTACGCCGCGCACCAGCTGAACCTGTGGCCTAGTGACGCACGGCCACGGGTGACGCCGGTCTCCCTTTGGACAGGTTCTCCGGGCGTAGCAGCTGACTTCCGTGTCTGGGGCTCTCTGGCTCACGTTCGCGCCCCTGGCGCGAACAAGTTGTCTCCGCGCACCCGTGCCTGCGTCTTTCTTGGTTTCCCTTTGGACGCCTCCGGCTGGTTGTTCTACGACCCGGCCACCTACCAGTTCTTCGCTTCTCAGGACGTCACGTTCGACGAGTCTGTCTGTTACTACAGGAGTCGCCCCCACCGAGGTACTGAGGCCTTTTCCCCCCCGCTGTTCCTCACCCTTGAGCCCCCCCCAGTCGCCCCGGTAGCCCCCCCCCCCTTCGCGTCCTGCCCCGTCAGGTGTGTCGCACGTCACTCCGCAGTCGTCCCCCCCGCAGCGTCCAGTCCGTGTCGTGTTTGAGGGTGCGGGAGGTGCAGTTGCGGAGGGTGAGGGTACTGGGGCTGCAGGAGCTGGTGGTGTCGGCTCTGGGGGTGCAGGGGTTGTGGGTGTGGAGGTCACTCCCGTGGAGGACACGGCAGCCTCGAGCCGGCGGCCTCGCCCCGCGTCACCCCCTGGCTTCCCGTCCGTCCCGCAGTTCCCTCCTCGTTCTTCTCTGCGGCTGGTTTCTGCGGAGCCCGGGGGTGCTACTGCGGGAGGCACTGGAGGCTCCGGGGGTGTCGACGGTGGAGGTGTTGGTTCTGGGGGTGCTGGAGCTGGAGGCACTGGCACTGTGGCGCCTACACCGCGCACTGTACGTTTCCTGACCCGTGAGCAGCGTCTCTTCCAGTTGGAGAGGGAGGAGCGTGCGCGGTTTGAGAGGGCACAGCAGCAGCAGCAGCAGCAGCACGAGAGAGTAGAGGAGGAGTCACAGCCGCAGCAGGAGAGGGTAGAGGAGGAGTCACGGCCGCACCAGGAGAGGGTAGAGCAGGAGTCCCACCCGTAGCAGCAGGTGCAGTTACAGACCCGGCAGGAGCGAGTAGAGGAGCAGTCACCGCCGCACCAGGAGAGGGTAGAGCAGGAGTCCCACCCGTAGCAGCAGGTGCAGTTACAGACCCGGCAGGAGCGAGTAGAGGAGCAGTCACCGCCGCACCAGGAGAGGGTAGAGCAGGAGTCCCACCCGCAGCAGCAGGTGCAGTTACAGACCCAGCAGGAGAGAGTAGAGGAGGAGTCCCGGTCCCAGCTACGGGTGCAGCTGCAGTCGCAGCAGGAGAGGGCAGAGGCGGAGCCACAGGAGCAGCAGCAGGGGCCGGTACCGTCGCAGCAGACGCCAGAGGAGGCGGAGCAGCACCGACTGCGACTACGCGACCTCCCCGACCCATCACCTGCACGCTTTGTTCGTGGTCCCCTACCGTCCCCTCCTGTTCCCCCTGTTGAGTCCCTTTCCTCGTCCCAGTGGACTCGTCGTTCTCCCCTCAGTCGTGCTGTGTCCCCTGAGCGTCGTCGGTCCCGTTACCGTGCAGACGGTCCGTTCCACCTCGTTCTTCGCTCTCGTGTTCCACCTCCTCCCGTCCTTCCACAGCCCCCTGAGTCGTCCCTCACTGTGCTTCACGACCCGTTGTCCGACTACCTTCGTGCCTCCCGTCCTGTTGTCTCCCGTGTTTTGTCCGCGTTGGTCACTCACCCGACTGCACCCTTGTCGTCTGTCTCAGCACTTGTTACCACTGTCGCTGACTTTGCCTCTTCCCACCGCCTTGACTACGCCGCTCACCTGGTGAGTGGCGCTGCTCGTTCTCCGTCCTGTGGGGGTGCTCCTGTCTTTCCCTTGGAGGTCCTGGAGGACAGGCAGTTTGAGCTTGGTTTCCTTGCGGCCGCTGTTCCTCATCTCTGCGCCATGCTGCTTGCCCCTGAGGGGGATCCAGACGCTCTTGACATTCCGATCCCTCGCACTCACGCTGAGGCGGTCTCGGGACCTTGGGCCTCGTACTGGATAGCAGCTGAGGAGGCAGAGATGGCATCTTATAGGTCCACAGGCACTTACGTCGACGCAGTCCCACCACCTGGGACGAACGTCGTCAGTGGCCGATGGCTCTACAAGGTGAAGCGGCCGCCTGGATCACCACCAGTGCTCAAGGCGCGCTATGTGGCGAGAGGCTTCAGTCAGCGAGCGGGGGTGGACTTCTTCCAGACCTTCGCTCCCACCCCGAAGATGAGTACTCTTCGGGTGTTGCTGCACATTGCAGCCCAGCGCGACTACGAGTTGCACTCTCTAGACTTTTCCACCGCGTTCCTTCAGGGGAGCCTGCACGAGCAGATCTGGCTGCGTCGCCCGCCTGGCTTCACTGGCTCTTTCCCACCTGGGACCCAGTGGCAGCTGCGTCGACCAGCCTACGGCCTGCGTCAGGCTCCACGTGAGTGGCACGACACACTTCGCTCGACCCTTGCAGCGCTTGACTTCTTTCCGTCGTCTGCCGACCCGTCACTGTTCGTCCGCCGTGGCTCGACCCCGTTCTTTGTTCTTGTTTACGTTGACGACCTGGTCTTCGCCACTCCCGACCGACACGCACTGGCCTCCGTGAAGGAGGAACTGCAGAGGAGACACACTTGCACTGACCTTGGTGAGCTGCAGCACTACCTTGGCCTGCAGATCACTAGGGACAGGGCAGCTCGCACCATTACGCTGACGCAGTCGCATATGGTCGAGCAGATCCTCACGCGGTTTCGCTTCCCGTTCTCCAAGGTACAGCTCACCCCTCTTGGTGTGGATCATGGGCTCACGGCTCCACCTTCGGACGAGTCATTTGAGCCCAGTGGTCCATATCCTGAGCTGGTGGGTTGTCTCATGTACCTGATGACATGTACTCGCCCAGACCTAGCTTACCCTCTTAGCGTCCTTGCGCGCTTTGTTGCGCCTGGGAGACACCGACCGTCCCACTGGTACGCTGCTAAGAGGGTGGCAAAGTATGTGGCGAGTACATCAGGCATGGGACTTGTCCTTGGAGGGAAGCAGCCAGTTACACTCACAGGTTACTCGGACTCGTCGTGGGCCGACGACGCGGAGACGCGTCGGTCTACACAGGGGTACTCCTTTAGCCTCGGGACAGGTGCTGTTTCGTGGCGGTCGACTCGGGCGTCGTCCGTCTCCGGTTCCAGCTGTGAGGCAGAGGTGTACGCTGCGGCCATGGCCGCTCAGGAGCTTCGCTGGCTGTCTTTCCTTCTCACCGACCTTGGTGAGCGGCCTCGCTCTCCCCCAGTCTTGTTCGCTGACAACAGGTCTGCTGTCCTGTTGTGTGAGGAGCCCCGACTGGTTGGGAAGTCGAAGCACATCCAGCTTCGTTACTTCCTTCTGCGTGAGTTGCAGCAGCGTGGCCAGGCACTCGTACGACGCGTGGTCTCTGAGGCCAACACGGCAGATATCTTCACCAAGGCGTTGCCGCCTTGTGACCACCAGCGTTTCTGCACCCAGCTTGGCCTTGTGCCTGCCCGTCCTCACTTGCTTACGTAGAGATGCTTTGTCCTGCTTGTCTTGTACTCTTGCATCTCATTATATTTGCTATATACCTGCATGTGGACTGGCCTTGTGGCCTCTTGCTTGCTCTCGGAGTGTGTGGTGACTTTGAGCTCCACCCTGAGATTTGTCTTGTTCTTGTGGATTGGTCTTGTGACCCTTGCTTGTTCTTGCTGACCGGTCACGTGACCCTTGCTTGCTCTCAGAATGTGTGTGTCCTTGAGACCCACCCTGAGATTTGTGTTGCTTTCCACAGGAATGCCGTCACCTAGACTATGGGGGTGTGTCAACATATATTTTATATGTTTAGTTTTTGTTAGTCTAGGTGTACCATTTCATATTCCTAGGGTTAGCTATATCCTCTTGTATCTCGTTTCCCTTAGTCAATCTTTTCACCCGTTCTAGTCTCGACACCAGCAGCCAGCAGCCAGCAGCCAGCAGCCAGCAGCCAGCAGCCAGCAGCCAGCAGCCAGCAGCCAGCAGCCCGCCGCGGCCGCGCAGCCGCAGCCGCAGCCGCAGCCGCAGCCGCAGCCGAAGCGGCAGCGGCAGCGGCAGCGGCAGCGGCAGCGGCAGCGGCTGCCAGCTGCCAGCTGCCAGCTGCCAGCTGCCAGCAGCCAGCAGCCAGCAGCCAGCAGCCAGCAGCCAGCAGCCAGCAGCCAGCAGCCAGCAGCCAGCAGCCAGCAGCCAGCAGCCAACAGCCAGCAGCCAGCAGCCAGCAGCCAGCAGCCAGCAGCCAGCAGCCAGCAGCCAGCAGCCAGCAGCCAGCAGCCAGCAGCCAGCAGCCAGCAGCCAGCAGCCAGCAGCCAGCAGCCAGCAGCCAGCAGCCAACAGCCAGCAGCCAGCAGCCAGCAGCCAGCAGCCAGCAGCCAGCAGCCAGCAGCCAGCAGCCAGCAGCCAGCAGCCAGCAGCCAGCAGCCAGCAGCCAGCAGCCAGCAGCCCGCAGCCCGCAGCCCGCAGCCCGCAGCCCGCAGCCCGCAGCCCGCAGCCAGCAGCCAGCAGCCGCAGCCGCAGCCGCAGCCGCAGCCGCAGCCGCAGCCGCAGCCGCAGCCGCAGCCGCAGCAGCAGCAGCAGCAGCAGCAGCAGCAGCAGCAGCAGCAGCAGCAGCAGCAGCAGCAGCAGCAGCAGCAGCAGCAGCAGCAGCAGCAGCAGCAGCAGCAGCAGCAGCAGCAGCCAGCAGCCAGCAGCCAGCAGCCAGCTGCCAGCTGCCAGCTGCCAGCAGCCAGCAGCCAGCAGCCAGCAGCCAGCAGCCAGCAGCCAGCAGCCAGCAGCCAGCAGCCAGCAGCCAGCAGCC